GGTGGTTCTATTCCTTTAACAAGATGCGCTTTTATAGTATGCACTACTGCTACATGACAAGATGTTCTGATTCCTAGGGGCTTCATATAACTGAACATACTCATCCCTTTTTTGCTCTTCTATTTTTATTTTGCTCAAAGTGAAAAGCCCATCCATGAGAAGTCATCAACATTGTTTTTAGGCATTCTGTCTTTGCTCCAATTGATGAAGAAGGGTGGCTTGTTTCATAGTTTTTGTATAGAATTGACTCAGTGTAATAGAATGTAACAGAATTGACTCAGTGCATTGTGTAGCTAAGTTTTCTGAAAGTTTATTTTTTCTAATTGTTTTTCAGATTTTCCATATTTTTCTTTAAATTTCAAAAAAAAATTATTAGTGTGACTAGAAAAGGAGAAAACAGATAATCTGAAGAAAGGAATGAATAGCTTACCAAAATGAAAAAAATACAGAGAGTTTAATTTTTACAATGTGATAAAGCCTGGAGGATAGTTCAAGAAGGTTTGCCAAATAGTGCTAAAAAAAAGTTCCAGAAGAGAATAGAGTGAAGAGCAAAGAAGCATTATCTTTCTGATGGAAAATTTATCCTTTATAAATAGGTTAAATAAAAATAAACCCATACTGAAACTCACTGTAATGAAATTGAAGAATACCAAAAAAAAAAAAAAAAGAGTTGGGGGATGGCAAGGGAAGCTTGAAAAATGAACTTTATGTTTTGATGACTTTTGCTGGTAGTATGAAGTTGATCTATTAAGGAACGATGTTTAGACCAATAGCAGTCATTTCATGAGCAGCAGCAAATGTAAGAAAGCAGTGTATTAGCATTTTCAAGGTACTGAAGGAAAATTGCTATTGTTATAACATAGAATTCTTAACCCAAACAACCATGCAGGAGTAATAACAGAAATAACACATTGATCATATGCCTGATCCACACAGGTGCACAGAGACGGATTATTCAGTGCTATACAATGACTGTTGGGAGATGGGGCAGGCCAGGAAGGAGCATATAGGACCTTCCACATGATCTTTGACCTCCTTCTGCGTGTGTCATTTTTTGTTTTTATTTGTTCATTTTGCAACTCACAGGTGGTATTTAGGTTAAAGGCCTACCCAAGAGGCCTACCTCAAAAAGAGCCAGATACATTAGAATAAGCATGATGTTGAAGCAGAGCCACTTCATCTTAGGAAGACAGCTGTGACTGTGGACATAGGAGCGGTTGCATGTGGAGGTGCTAGGTGTAGCCATAAGGAATGGAACCTCCCACCAACATCAAAAACCTTCTCAACTTTCCTCCTCCAAAAGAACCCAATGTTCTTGGCTGAAACTCATGAGAGTGAGCACAGGATGTCCTCTAATTAAATTTTGCCTTACAAACTAGGATTTCCACTTCGGGGCATAAAGAATTACTTGTACCAGGCTAACTCCCTGCTGCCCACAGCTAGAAGCCTGGACAGCAAGCACCACAGAGTGATCCTTCAAAGAAAGAAAACTAATGAGGTGAGCCCTGTATTTGCTCGTAATTTCTGCCTGAAGGCATTCTGTAGACTATTGCACAAGAGAAGACTTGAAGTAAAGCATAGTTATCTTGCTAAATTGAAGACCAGAAATTGGTGTTCAGGAGGCTGAGGCTGTTGGACTTTACAGAATGGAATATTGATAGGGAGGCAGGGAAGGATGGAAGTTAGTTACACAGAAAATAGCTCTGTATCTGTACAGAGGTGCTTTGAAGTCTGTGGTTGGATACTGTGCACACATAGAGTAGACTCTAAGAGCCAGGTATGGAACAACTAACTACAAGGGGAAATAACCAAATTGCAAATTTCTATATGCAGAATAATTCCCAAAGCTAATATAGGAATGGAAAAAATTCCTGCCAAGAAGCATAAAGACTTTTCATTGTACAGACCCAGGAAGTGCCAGATTTTAGCAGTAAGGCAACTTTAGCCCTAGGGTTAAAGTTTTCTAGATCTTGCCATAAACAGTGATACAGACTAGCAGCAACAGGTATCTGTGAAATGTGGCTGAGACCAGCTGACATGTTCTTCTAAGTATAAATGAAATGTAAGCTGGATTTTTTAATATTTAGCATGAAGAAAAAAGGAATGTTAGCTATCTCATTTATAGTTTTTATATTGATGACATGTTGACAACTGAATACTTGGGAAATAAGTAAACTAATAAGAGAGAGAGTCCAGTGGTTACCAACTAGCTAGAATGAAAAAAATATATATATTGGAGAGACTATTTCAAAACCCCGCTTAGCAATGTACATATTACCAAAATTAAAATACAGATTTAACTCTATCCCAATCAAAATCCCAAAAACATTATTCTCAGAAAGAAAAAGAAGATACAAAAGTTTATCTGGAAACAAAGAGACCATGAATAGCCAAAACTATCCTGAATAATAAAAATCAAGCTGGAGGAATCATAATTCCATACATCAAAAGACACTATAGGGCAGTCGCCATCAAAATAGTCTGGTACTGAAACAAAAGATCAGTGGAGTAGAATAGAAACACCAAAATGGAGCCCACATGTGTATAGTCAACTAATTTTTGATAAGAAAAACGAAAATAATGCAAGGAAAAAGCCTGTTCTTTTCAACAAATGCTATTGGGATAATTGGATAGCAGCCTGCAGAAATAAAAAGCAAGACCCTCGCACCTGTCACCTTATATGAAAATCAGCTCCAAATGGATCAAGGACCTAAATCTGCCAGAAATAATCAAACTATTGGAGGAAAAGATAGGAAGCACTCTCCAATGTATAGACATTGGGAAAGATTTCATGAAAAGTTGCCAAAAGCAAGGCAGTCAAAGCCAAAATTAAAAAAAAAAATGGGACTACATCAAATTTAAAAGTTTCTGTATAGCAAAGGAGACTATCAGCAAAGTGAAGAAGCAATCAATGGAATGGGGAAAATCATTGCACACTACACAACTGGTAGGAGACTAATATCTACGGTTTGCAAAGGGCTTTACAAACTCAGTGACAGCAAAACAAATAATCCTGTGAAGAAATGGGAGAAGGAGATGAATAGGCAATTAAAACAAAACATTCAAATTGTTAATAAACATATGAAAAAATGTTCAGGCCCTTTAGCTGTCAGGGAAATGCAAATGGAAACCACATTGAGCTTCTGCCTAACTCCAGTAAGATAGGTCTACATTCAGAACTGTACTAATAACACCTGCTGGCATGGGTGTGGGGAGAAAGCTACCTCCCTTCACTCTTGGTGGGATTGTAGGCTAGTGCTGCAACTTTGGAAGTCAGTATGGAAAGTGCTAAGACAAGTGAAAAAGAGGGATGGATAAAGAAACTGGTACATCTGCCCCATGAAATACTACTTGGCCATTTAAAAAAATTAAAGTCTACAATCTGCAACCAAAAGGTCCCAACTAGAGACCATTATTATGTCAGTGAAACAAGTCAATCCCAAAAGGATAAATATCATATGTTTCCTCTGTAATGCAGCCTCTTTGCAAAATACCAGATCAATAGCCTTTTCGGTACTGTTTTTGCTACATCTCGTGGGTTTTGCTTTTTTTTTTTTCATTTCTTCGAAATTGTTTTTTTTTTTTAATTAAGTTCTTCATTAACTCATAGGTCATACAGTAGCATCATTCTCTTCAAGGTTTTTGATTTTCATTTATTTAGCAACACATTGGTCACACAGTAGCTTGTTATTTAACTTCATGTTGTACATTTTCTATTTTTCTTCCTATTGTCAATTTTTTTATGGCTTTTCATTTAAAGGAGTGTATAGTAACTGTGTAATAGAAGCTGTCATATCCAGATGTGAGGATATGCATCTCTACTTCCAAATCAAAGATGGTCTCCCAATGAAACTGTTAAATATATCTTGATAATAGGATGCTAGACTCTCGGCCATTGTCTATACCCACAATGTCAGGATATATTAAATAGCAGAATGAAAGATTTATACTGTTTAAGAAGGACTATGCTATTGTAATAATATGGGGGAAGTCAAGCGTGGGAGAGGCTTTAAGGAGAGAGTAAGGAGAATTCGAGTCTATGAAATTACATCATAAAATAATAATAATAAATATATCAATAAAAAAGAAGATGAACAAGGGGAGGGAAGGAAAATCCCAGAGCCTGTAGAACTATATCATGGAAAAATAAAATTAATTAATTTTAAGAACAAAATGCTATTTGGACATTTTTTAAATGTCCTTTATTACTTTTATTACTAATAAAAGCTATTCCTTGAAATTTGTACTTTCTTTTTTTATTTTTTGTTTATTTTATTTTATTGTTAATGACATTGTATTATGTGATACAGTTTTATAGGCATTGGGATTTCCCCCGCTACTCCTAAAACCCTCCCTCCATGGTGGATTCCTCCACCTTGCTGCATAACCACAGTTCAAGTTCAGTTGAGATTCCTTCGTTGCAAGCACATACCCAGCATAGAGTCCAGCATCTTATTGTCCAGATAACTTTAACGGCTTCTTGGGGAGACCTTCTCTGGTCTGAAGGTAGAGCTAACAGAGTAAAATCCCCATCAGTTAAAAGCCCCAACAAAACATCAGCAACAATATACAGTGTTATGGAATTGATTGACATAGTATTGAGTAAACAATATGTTAAAAATAGTACAAGTTCAATTTTTCAAAACACATGTGTTGAGACAGTATCAATGACAGGTTAAAAAAAATACAGGTTAAATTAAGGCAAACATGTGGTATCTAACCTTTTGGGATTCGCTCATTTCCCTTAGCATTATAGTTTCCAGTTTTGTACTTTTCTTATGCAGATTCCATCCTTCAAAAATATTCTTAGCTAACAATCATATGCTGTTTGTAAGAGGTATTCATGACAGTGCCAACCCATGGGAAAATTTAGCTATGAAAAGAGCTTTTAAAAGGAACCTAACAGATCAAACAATGCAGTAAAGATTGGTAAACAGATTATATTTAGCAACGGTCAATGAAAACGAAATGAAAAACAAAAGACCCCAGCTATGAAGAGATAGCCAGAAACTCCAAAAATATTTTAATAATTTCTTTACCTATATTTTAGATTTCCAAACACAAGGGAACATCTTGTCCATCCATGGAAGTCTTATAGGCTTATCGAATAACTGTCAGGTTATAGTTTTGTTCAGTTTATCACACATGTCTACAAATATAAATATTTATTAAAATTCACATTTCAGATAGGCTAACAAAGAGCTTTAAATATAAAAGTGACAAAGTAGTGCCAGAGAGAGGCGTTTGTTGTTTTGAGCATCTTCAGGGAATGGCAAGAGCAGTTCCTAAATTTTATCTTTTGATGATTTTTAGCTTTGCTATGTATGATCAGCAATTTCCTTTTTGCCACAAAAGAGAAATGGGAGCCAATTGAACATTTTTCAGGCTGGGGATGAAATAGGAATCTTTTTACTTTTAGTTGAAGACATGGGTTCAAGGTACCCACAAGGTTACTACCTTCAATGACAGCAGTGAGTCTCTCTAAACCAGGATAGAGTTTCTAAGGGCAGTCTTGCATGTGGCCATCCTTCCAGGTTTAGGGGAACTAAACACCACCAAGATGAACATCAGGGAGTAAATGGACACATGACAAGGCTGTAATAGTTCTCTCTGCTTCAGAATGCTCCTGGCACCAGAGAATGAATGAGAAGATTCTGATCCAGAAAAATGTCATATACATGTAAAATATTCAAGTGTTACAGATAAAGCCATGTTTTCCATATGAATTCAAAGTGGAAATATTACAAAATAAAATCCTAACAACCTGTACAAAGGTCCTTGAGGTAGTATCTTATTAAATTCTGCATTTAAACATATATGGAAAACTGCCTGAATTTATTCCTTTCACATGTATAAACAAAGTTTACAAATATGACAGAATCTCCAGACTCAACATAGAGTTGGCAAAGAAATTTAGAGGCAAAGTGGTCTTTTCAGTAACGGAGACATTACAATAAAAGGTCATAGTTGCTTACAAAATTAGGTCAGCCTATGGATAAATGCCTGTACTTTTATACATATCTTTTACAAAATTATGAATTAGATGCTAAAATATGACACTAATCATCTGTTCGGATGCTTAGCATGCCATCACACTTACTCTTGTCTCTGTCCTCCTAAGATATTTCAAACATCCTTGAAGATAGAATTAGATTTGTTCTGAAAATCTAATGAATGAAAAAAAAATTCATCCAGTGAAAAGCGAAGCAGTCTTTACAGCCTTCAGCTATTTAGAGCTTTCCCACTTATCATTTTTCCCTTCCTTCCTTCCTTCCTTCCTTCCTTCCTTCTTTCCTTCCTTCCTTCCTTCCTTCCAGCTGCATACACAGAACTGAATTAGTTGTTTTATTCCTAGACCAAGCTTTGTCTTTCATTTTCATCTCTAATTGAAGCTTCCTGGTCCCTAGCAATGTCTTTCTGGACTATATCTTGAAATTTATCTGTAAGTGCACAAAGATTAGCTTTCCTGAGACCTTGAATCAAAGTGTTATAGGCATCTTTCTTCCCATGAAGTTGATACCAATTACGAAGCAACTGGACTTTCTGTTCAGCTGTATCTTGAAGATTGTCGTTCTTTATCTCATCTATTTTGGCTTCATTGATACCATTCTTCCGAACAAATTCTTTAACTTCATTTATTTTCATTTCTTCAGCAAAAGTGGTAATATACTTACCAATGTCAATATCTGAAAAACAGAAAAGAGTTCCTGAGAAAATTTCTAAATGAAATTCCCAAAAGAGAGAACAATATGTGTTTCTCCCCTTATAGCACTCAAGAATACAGGAGTACAGTTAAATCCTAAGGTTCCAAACTACTTATTAGAGGGAAAAAAAGACAGCAAGAAAAATAAGCTTGAGTTCAATTCCAACACATGCTATAGGTATTCCAGTTTGTTCTATAATCTATATACTATCTCTGTATTTTTCCTTTCCATTTACAAATAAGATGGTTTGAAAAGGACCCTACTAGCAACCCTTTATGGATCTGATGGTCAGCCACCAACTAATCTAAAAGGATAAGCAAAAAGTTGACAGCTGAACCAAAGAATGGAATTGAATAGATCACATATGTTGTTTTAGAGTTGAGTTCACCAATAATTTAGTCTAAAACTAGTTAGTTCTAGAACTCATTTAGCCGGTTGTGACAGAAAATTTTATTATGCTGTATCGTTTGGCATCCTTTCACTAAGTGACTTATTTTTTTTTAAAGATTTATCGTATGTTTGTTGGAAAATCAGATATACAGAGAGGAGAGATGGAGAGGAAGATCTTCCGTCCATTGATTCACTCCCCAAGTGACTGAAATGTCCAGAGCTGTGCCAAGCCAAAGCCAGTACCCTGGAACCTCTTCCGGTATCCCACATGAGTGCAGAGTCCCAAGGCTTTGGGCTGTCCACAATTGCTTTCCCAGGTCCCAGGCAGAGAGCTGGATGGGAAGCAGGGCCACTGGGATAAGAACCAGTGTACATATGGGATCCCAGAGCATGCAAGGCGATGACTTTATCTGCTAGGCTATCGTGCCAGGCCCACTGACTGACTTATTTTTAATGATCATTGTTAGTTATAAATATAAACAAACTGCCTGATCAATTCAAGAAGATCTTTAAATTCAAGGAAAACAAAGTTCACAGAACTTGCCACTGAAATTAGCAATATTATTTTACTCTAAAAATTGTCTGTTGTTACAAAGGAAGCTACCTCTAGGGAATAAAATAATTAAAGCCTTACCTGAGAAATTCATTGGTACTGTTTCCTGGGGAAAAAAAAAATAAAAAGATGGAGGAAAAGAGAGGTAATTTAGCATGATCTAAATGTAATTTTCTAATTTTTCCTTAATTTGGAATGAAATATAGTTACTTTGATGCATAAATTAATGAACTAGACCAAGTGATTGAGGAGGCTTCTTTCCCTCATTCAGATTTGGGTTCTGAAAGGTTATAAGCTTACATTTTTACCAGACAGGGAACTTACTATGGTTTTAAGAAAATGTGACTCTGAACTCATACAGACATTTAAACCTGAAGTAATGAGAAACTTAGTGCAGTGAAGGTGTAGCATTGAGAGGTGATTAGATTAGGTCCTCATGGCAAGTCCCTCTCATTAATAAACTCTGATGGCTTCCTAAGAGCTCACACAGTCATAGACATAAAAATGGACATGGACACACACATTTCCTGTTGCTGTCTGTGCCACCTCAGGGCAGCTAGCAAAAATGTCCTTGTCAAAATTTGAATCTATGGAGCCCATAGAGTCTTGGACAGTGAACCTCCAAAACCATGCACCAAAAAAAATTAATCTCTGTTCTTTGTATGGTTAGTTGTCTCAAGTGTTTAATAGTGATAACAAAAATCTGACTAATAGAGATCCTAATGCACTCACAGAATGACTGAAGATTCTTTTTCATAGAGACTCATTAAAATAAACAAACTGCTCGAGTTACTGTTACTATTCAGAGTTACTATTTTTTTGATACTGGGTAATAGCTCAAATCAAACATTTGTTTTTGATAACATATGGATTTAAAGGATAATAACTCCCACTGAATTGAATCCTGGTCCCAAATGAGGGGATTGTTTTTCAATTAGGTAGAATTGGTTTATCTTTTCAGTGTTTTTGTTGTTGTTATTGTTGTTATTTTCAATGTCTTAATGCCATGTTGGGAAAAGATATGATGAGAGATAAAGTCAACAGGTGGATGAAGGGAAATGAGTTGAACCATTTTATTGAATTTTAACAACTATCTCTCTACTGAGATTGGTTTCTGAATCTGTGCTCAGGGAAAGAATATCTCTCTGCAAGAGAGGGGAAGATGAAATTGAGTCATACATCCTTTTCTCAATACACATTCCACACATATTCCTTTGCTGATTTTTATATTTGTGTGGAAGTTTATACTTTAGGTATCATAGTCCTACTCACTTATTGTAAATATTTATCTACATATGCATGTATGTATTTAAAATCAGAGTTAACAAAGAAAGGAAGAAACAAAGAAAGATCCATGTATTGGCTCATGCCCTAGATAGCTACAATGGCCAGGGGTAGGCCAGGCTATCGCCAAGAGCTAGGAGCTTCTTTCCAGTCTCATTTGTGGGTGGCAGGAGCCCAAGTACTTGGGGCCATCTTCACTGCCCTGCCTAGGCCATTAAAAGGCAGCTGGATCTGAAGTACAGTAGTTGGGACAGAAATCAGCACCCATACAGAATGCTGGCATCACAGATGCAGTCTACTAACTAGGCCATTACATAACTACTACCACCTTGGTTCATTTTTAACACCCCTCTAACTCAGGAACTCACAAATCCAACTAGTATTTTCTTAAAGTAACAGGGGTGAGCATTTGGTCCAATAACTAAAATGCATTTGGAACACCAGCATCCCATATTGAAATGCTTTGTTTTGAGTTCTATTCTCAATTTTAGCTCCATTCTGCTGCACATCCTAAGAGGTAGCAGGTAGTGGCTAAACTAATTGGGTTCCTACCCCAAAGGTGAAAAACCTGGACTGAGTGTCTGGCTCCTGGCTTCTGCCTTGACCCTGCCCTGGTTCTTTCTAGCATTTGAATCACAAATCAATGGGATAAAAGTTCTTTATTTGTCTCTCTCCCTCTTTTTCTATTTCATTTCCTTTCAAATAAACAATAAAATAATTTTTAAAAGAAATATACATTTCCTTTTTCTGTTCTTAATACTTTCTCCATTTTATAAAAGCTGATGCAAATGTCAACACCTACAGATTTTAAGGTTGCAGATTCGCCTTGATGACATTTTTCTTTGCCTTGCTTTTTCCATTTTCGCCAAGCTGAAAGAACAAGGAAATTTCTATCAGAGGCATGTCTCACCTTTGTGGTAAACATGTAAGAACACACTTGCAAACTTGAGAAGTATAAGGACAAAGAAAATCATTGAACGTTGAAATAGCCAATCAACACAAGAGGCAGTATTGTGTCAGTTTTGAAAATTCCCAGTGTTTTAGAGATGGGCCTTGTTTAATTATCGCACCCCGGCCTGATGTATGGTTGGTATTTAACTTACTGTACAGCCACTACCACTCCAGTTGTGCATGGCCACAACTGGGCACAGAAGCTGTAGGTCGTGGAAAGTAGATATTGGTTTGCCATGGAACCACATTTAATGTCCACAAATTTAAGTATATACACTGAGGAGTAACTTAGATATATTCAGTCAGTAACTGATTGTATGCTTTGAGAGATTGAAGAAAGGAATCTCTTAAGTCTGCAAGCATAATTATCATGTTTAAACATCAAGTAGATATTTGTAGCTCAAGAGACTTTCAGAACTGGACAACATCTTACATTAACTGAGCTGAAGAAAAAAAAGGAAAAATGGAAATTTAGGTACTTACAAGTAATTGAAAATTGGTACATCTGCATTTTATGAATATTTAAAGATATTTTGTAGACTAACTATATATTAATTTTATTCTTTTCTGCTGACTTAGCTCAGTAGCTTGCATAAAATGTGTCATACTGGTATTCTCAGTTAAGAAGGCAAATATATATATATATATTTATATATATATATTTTTTTTTTACTGGGATGTGGTCAGGGGAAAGAAGATACCGAGAGGGAACGTGTCCCCCTGCGATGGATACTTTCTGGGAAAAGCCCTTACTCTTGTTCCTTGTGTTCTCGCTATATATGAGGGGATTTCACTGAACATGGAAAGATCTGTAATTTCTAGCCAATTATGCCACATGAGAGAACTCTTGTGTAAAGGAAGGTGAGATGAGGCCCCACACTACTGCTTAGAAACAGTAGCTGCAGTGGGAGGAAATTAGCAATATAACAAAGATACGTGTGTGGGCTCTCTTATAGGTAGGAGAAAGAGGGAAATAATTGTGAGTGCCCTACTTCCCCAGCCATTCCATCTGTGGTTTGAATAAAATAAAAACTTACCAAGATATAATAACACTGCAAGTACAGGCAGCAAAAGCAGCAACAAAGGATAATACTTGGAATCTGTAGATTGGAGCACTGGAAATTTCACATGAAAATAAGAAATCTTTAGGAGTAACTCATCCTTGAACAGGGTATTGTATGCTCAAATAATCAAAAACAATGATTTTTTTCATAATTTTCCATGGATAATGGTTATTATCTGTATATTGTATTGTTCTTTGGGTCTGTTTTGAAATTGCTTATGGCACTTCAACAGCTGGTTTTTTTTTTTTACGTATTTTAAAAGTTCAATTTATCTTCAGGATCGGAGAAGGGAGAGGATAGCCATAACAAGCAATAATTACCTTTGCATTTGGTGTTGCTGGTTCGTGTGCATTCCTCAATGACTCCATGTTCACATCTAGGAAAAAATATGGAGAAAATTCAGAGAGCCTAGTGGACATAGTCCTCAGTTTTAGTGGCATGTTACAAGTTAAAGACCATATTCCCTGAAAGGTTTCTAGATTAGCATCTAAAGCTAATAGAAGTCATGTAATTTGGATGTTTGGATAGGAATTATCTTAAGGAGTAGACTGTTTTAAGATGGCAAGAGTTAAAGAAGGCACTATTGACAAACAAATCCTGGTGAAAAAGACACGAAAATGAACTTACACTGATAAATATTCAAAATAATAAAGGAATTTCAAAACTCCATTAAGCAATAGAATAGCTAGGTAAGAGCCATTGCCCATGATGGTGCCTATGGAGGCTTTTCAGTTAGCCCTTAGAAATTGCCACATGTAGAGGTTCGAGTAGTAGTAATTCAGAGCCGAAAGAGGCTCACATAGGATGTTCTTTAGATATCCAAAGATTGGCAATCAGTAGTTGAGTTCACAGCTTGCCGGTCCAGTATCTAACAAGATAAGTTTGTAAGGTCACTTAACTGCCATGTATCTATTATCTCAATGATAACATGGAGATAATGGTACTCTCTCCCGCTATGTTGAGAAAATAAAATCAAGATTGTGAAGTATTTAGAAAAACAAAACAAAACAAAACTTCTTATTCTACTTGGCCCTTCTCCTCTATCCCTACCTGAGACGCTGTCATCATGTTAGGCTAGAAAGGAGGTGATAAGTCAGTGTACATGAAGATTTTTTCTAGCAAACAGGACATAAAGTTTCATTTCTCTAATTTTTAGCTTCTTATCTGAGTTTCACAGAGTTTTTCTAGATGATTTACAACTTTAAGGAGAAGCAAATGAATACTAATTTAGCAAATGAGTACAAAGCAAAACTACTTTTGCAGTATCTATAACCTAATCTAACCCTCATAGAAATTAGGGTCCAATTAACACAATAGTGAGATGTACAATCAAGTTTTTTGGCTTGGGTTAAAATTAAGCTCTTTAGTATGAATGACAAATTTCTGCAGAATTTGACCCTGGCTCGCTCTAAACTTTTCCAGCCCTCTAACCTAGCATCCTGTTCTCCAGAGCTTGCTTGCTTGCTTGCTTTCTTTCTTTCTTTCTTTCTTTCTTTCTTTCTTTCTTTCCTTCTTTTTCTTAAGATATATTTATTTTTATTGGAAAGGCAGATTTTATAGAGAAGAGACAGATCTTCTGTCTGCTGGTTCACTCCCAAGTGGCCACAAATGCCAGAGCTGAGCTGATTTAAAGCCAGGAGCTTCTTCTGGGTCTCCCACATGTGTGTAGGGTCCCAAGGCTTTGGGCCATTCTCTTCTACCCTCCCAGGCCACAATTATGGAGCTGGAAGGGAAGTGGAGCAGCCGGGACACGAACCGACGTGTATGTAGAATCCTGGCTCACACAAGGCAAGAACTTTAGCCACTAGGTTACCACACTGAGCCCAGGTTTATCTTAATGCAGCTGCTAAACCCCTGCCTATCATGGGCTTTTAAGTCCTTTGCACCTGTTATTCCACCTTCTTTCCTTTCCATTGCTCATCCTCAAGCTAACTTAAAAGTTTTCCCATATAATCTGTAACACTGTAGGCACAAATACACTGCTATGTGGTGTTGACACATAGTATCCAGTGCTTTTCTCAGCTTTGTCTATAGTGTGGAACCTTCAAGCCAGGAGCCTGTCTTACTCACATCCTTAGCTTACACCAGGAACACAGTATCAAGTACAACAGGATATGTTCAGTATTTAGGAATTGTTCAATAAAAATGTTTTCCTTCTGATAATGTGTGAACCAGCAAGTTGTCATATAGTTACTTGGATGGGAAATCAGTTCTCAATTATTGACAGTCTCTAAGTGTTACTTCCCTCTAGAAAGACAGCATCACTCAAGGAATATCTTGTATTTTGATTACAGAAAAACAAAAACTTACCTGGTGCAAGGATTACAGTGTTCACATTGAAGAGCATCACAAAAAAAGTTTGGTTTGCACCTGCACTTGGTATTCTGCTTGGTAGTACAGTTTGTTTCTACTTCTAAGCCTAGAAAAAAGTTTTCAAAGTGTTACCTATCAATATAATTATCATTATTGGCTAATTATAAAGGTTATGAAAATAATGTCCAATAGCTACATGAATTTTTGAAAACCATTGCTTATTTGAATTATTATCATACTAATGCAACTAGTGTTTAAAATGTTATTATTATATCTGTTTGATAGAATCAGATATAAAGTTGGGAGAGGGGAGATATCTTCTATCTCCTACCCACTAACTCACTTCACTTATTCTCATAACATCTGGGACTAAGCAAGGTAAAAGCCAGGAGCTGAGAAACCAATCCATGTCTCCCATGTCTTCCAAGGAACCCAACAATTTGAGCCATCACTTGCTTCCTCCCAGGGTCTGCATTAGCAGGAAACTGGAACCAGGAGTGGAGACAGAAGTTGAAACCCAGCACATTTGTAAGGGATGAAACCATCCTATAAGACACCCCAACTGCAGTGCTAAATTCCTGCCTGTACAACCAGTGTTTAAATGCAAAACAAATGCCCATCGGTTGAAATGGCCAGCCATCATTTAACAGTTTTAAGTGGAAAGAGACTCAAGCAACCAAGGCCACCTTCATCATGGCTTATATGGCTCCCCTGTTCCTCTTGTCTGGAGTTTTGCTACTCAAAACAGGGTCAATGGATTGGCAATGTCAGCATCCCCTAGGAGCTTGTTGGATACGCACAGTAATTTGACTCTATTCTTCACTGACCCAGACAGTGCCAAACCCTCTTCTAAGGATTACAGTTTATGTGCTCTGAGGTGGAACTCAAATTGACTTAACAGCCCACTAGGCCATTCTCATGCAGTCCAAGATTGCAAAGCATTGCTTTACAGCCAAAAAAGGGATTAGAGGTCGGTTGATGTCAAAAGTAGGAATACTTCCATGATATTTTAACCTTGAACCTCAGAACTGATTAAGACATCCATGAAAAGTGCCAAGCCCCAGATGCAATGATTAGAATAAGCCAAACTCTGACTGAAGCAGGAGCACCCCACCCCCTCACTGGTTTCTCTTTCTCTGTAGCTGTCAGCTTTGGAGCCCTTTCTGGCCATAGACATCAAGCAGGAAATAGCAGTTTCTGTGGGTTTTCATGGAACCTGATGAATCCTGTTCACGTTTGAAAACATCTGACAGAATTGCTTATACTTGTCCCATAAATGCACAGATCTGTGATGAGTTCAGTGTCCAGTCCTGCTTTATCACAGCCAGCTCTACCCCACCTCTCCATTTATGCCAGCACAGTACCACAGTAGGGTCCAATTTCAAACTGCTTTATAAGTGGTTCTACATGAAGTACCAGATCAATGTTTTCCAGTTGCTTTTTAAGATACTCACCATGTTCTTCATCACAAAGATTGCATCTTCTGCACTCAGAAGAATAATGGTCTTCATCGGTGTATTCCTTCCCTTCTTCACAGGGCTTACATATCGGTTTGCCCCAATTGGTTGTACAGTCAGCATATTTCCATGTGCCTGCCCAAGAATAAAAAGGGGGTAAATGTTTGGTTTGGTGGTCATTTAATTTCATGGGAAGATTATAGAAATGACAGAAAGAAAAAACCACACTTCTCGAACAGAGTGGGCAGGATTGTTAGACTAATGACATATAATCTAAACAGAGAAAGTTACTGTAAGGATCATGTCAAAAGGGAGAGTCTCCTAAAACCAAAGCCAGAACAATGAAGAAAGGAATCTGTGTGTGGAAATAGGACAGTTAGCAATAAGAGCATCTGAAAAGGAGCAAGATTAGAATGGCCAAATGCATCATGAGAAATGTCTTTACCAACTATCTTCTCTGAGAGGAGAGCAGAGGTTGGTAGGGGCATACTCAGGGTGGAGGTGTCTCTCTTTGGCCTCTAAGATTACTAAGCTAATTTACAGTTACTAACTTTGTCCTCATTTCTTGCTCTACTTTCAGCATCTACAAATCTTGCTAATGATATAGGCAGAGTAAAACAATCTAAGTTAGACTTGAGCATACAGCTAAGGATTGAGGTGGAGAGGGAGGTACATGGTCAGGACAGTGGCCTCTAGTTACTAAGCAATACAAGGATGAAGAGAGTCAGAGCTACAATGCTACAAGGTGGAACTAGGGGGCCCTCTGATCTTGTGGAAACCAGCCTGTGCTGAAAGCAAGTGTGATAATAAGAGACAGAGAATTTTGGTGATTCATGGGGAGAGAATTATATTCATGTTTATTTCAATTTATCTTAAAACAAATTGATTCACTATATTGCTACTAGTAGGCATTATTCAGTAATGCCTTCTGGAAAATTCATTTATTTAACAAGTGCTTAGCAAATGTCTGTGTGTGCTAGATACTTTCAAGGAACTTGTATATATTGAAGAAAACAAGACGCAGTTTTGGTATCCAAGACCTTTACCTACTAGAGGCAGATAATGTCCAAATAAACATACAATGCCAAGTGGTAATAATTGTGTTCAGGTAAGGAGAGAGGGAATGAAGAAGAAAAAGACTGAAAACACACACAAAAAAATAAAAGAAAAGTGTTACTAGTGGTTCATTACTAATGATTTAGCTAAATTTTTAAAAATAGAGTCTAATTCACTTCACTTGCATGTACTAAAAAAGTAATTTACACTGTTTCCTAGACACAAAGATTTCTTAATAACCACAAAGTTTTCCTTTTGATTAAAAAATCTTCTACATAAGCAAATTATTAAATGTAAACATCCGTGATATTCTAGTGCATGATGATAATAGTCAGCCAATGGAAATAAAATCAGAAACTCATAAAAAATCAGAACAAAATTCAAATATAGTACTTTCGGGTCATTTAACATTGTAGTAACATTTTAAAGAAGAGGGAGGCAAAATACAGATTCGTTTCTTGTTAGTGATATACCAGTTTCCAAATGAATTAACTTCTTTAATGAATGATCTTTACTGACTATGCCTACCCTAACTCCTACAGTATATACAGGAATACCATAGATCAGATTCTTTATTCCTATGTATACAATTTGAATTCATCAAAACACAGAAAGTGGCTGCTTTCTTGAAGATGAGATTTGAAAAATACACTTTTCTGAGTAGAATATTACCTATGCTTATTGCAGAAAATTTGGTAAAGAGAGTATAAAAGCTATCGCATATCAATTATCTTTTTGAGATATTATATGTTGTTTTGTGGCATTCCTAAATCTGCTTGTGTACACATGTGCACATAAATACAAATATGCATGCAAGTATAGGAATATGTAAAAGATGTGTGTGTTCACAGCATGTATGCCATATACTGTAGAATCCCTCTAATTGAGTATGGTGATATGATAAAGGCATTTCGATCAGTTAATCAAAAATCTTATTTTCCCAGAGGCAATTACTAAAGAAATATCGTAAATATTTTATTTAACTTCATAAAGTATAATTATATAATCATTCTCGAGATATAGAACCAAGTTAATAGACTTCCATGATTGGTTTTTTTTTTTTCACTTAAGTTGCACTCCCAATGCATCATGGCTGGTTTCCTGTTCTTCTGTTTCTCTTTCTTGCTTTTGCTCTTACCTCCCCGCTCCCCCTTGCCAGGTCAGAATTATGGGAACTCTTTATATGCAGAATCCACATCTGTTTTGCAGTTTGAGTGCTGGAAGCACAGAAGACCAACCATGAAACTTACAACAATCCTTTCTCGTTCTGTTAAGCTGCTGCATAAACTGTGTTGTTTTCCTTTACCTTCTTGACTTCACAGTGCAGCAGAGGGACAGTGTGTGTGCAATTTAGTCAACTTCAAACTGAAATATGTTAGCACAGTTACATTTTGCTTAGCTTCTAACTTGCTAGTTGCTTGAAGGCTTTCCGATTTCAAATTGGTTTGTATTTCAAAATATACATTTTTTTTTAAATTCTTGGTTTCTGTCCGTTACTTTTCTAGTTCATTTTGTTACGCAGCTGCAGAAATGCAAATTTATTTTGCAGGCTTCGGTGCCAGGACGAGCAGCTTTTTTTTTTTTTTTCAAAGAAACCTTCTGATTGAAGGGAAGTGCTGAGACATGTTCTTCAGGGGCAGAAGTCCCATGCTTTCAGAGTCCCGCTATGATTATGATACACTTTAACCAGCTTTGAGAAGATCATTTTAATTCCTGCAAATGAGTTTTCTGCAAATAATGGTTTAATTCCTGCAAATGAGTTTTCTTTTGCTCATGAAAAGTACAGCTAGATAGACAGATCCTGTAATTTTAGAGATGCATGTCAAATGTAAGTTAAATTTATTTGTAGTCACAAATAGCATGAGAACGACACATAAAAGTAGTTTTAGGAAAATAATGACACTGATGCTTTTCTCCCAGTACTGCTCACTCTCTCTCCATCACTTCTTCTCTCCTCTTCTGTTCTCACTCTTTCTCTCTCTCTTTCTCTGTAACTCTGCATTTTAACTAAATAATTAAAAAACAAAATGTAGTAAAATATACTATTTGTTATGATCCTCTGCTCATTCTCTGATTTTCATCCTCATCTTTGGATGTTTTGTGTGACATACCAGGAGGACACGACTGACAGCATAATTGGCCTACTTGATGTAGATTATTGAGGGATGGAGTCTCATTTTCAGTCCCATTATTGATATCACAGACATTAACACCTCTGCCCAATGATCCAGAATTATAAATGAGTATCTGCAAAAGAAAAAAAAAAAGGATTTTAGCAATTTCCTAACTAAGCAACTTGGCAGACAGGTATCATCTACCTAAAATCTGTCTACTGTGTATAGTATCAATGTAGGAATTCCATCCTACTGTTGACTATCTCCAGGAAAAGAGCAGTTCATTTGCATTGCAATTTCAGACCCTGGATTCTCTACCATGCTGGAAACACCATCATGGAAGGCATGAACCCAGTTTCTGCTCAAAAAGGAATGCTGGCTCTCATTTGCTGTCATGAATCTGTGTGTTACATCATTTAGACTCTCTAATCTCTGTTTCTTTAAAAAAAAAAAAAGTTTGAAAGCCAGAGTTAGAGAGAGAAGGAGAAAAAGAGAGAGAGAAAGAGAGATCTTGCATCTGCTGGTTCACTTCCCAAATGGCCAGAATAGCTGGGGCGAGGCAAGGCAGACCAAGAGTCAGGAACTCCTTCTGGATCTCCCTTGTGAATGGCAGGGGCTCAAGTCCCAACCTCTTCTGCTTTCCTGAATGCATTAGTAGGGAGCTGAAGTGGGGGAGCTGAAGTGGAGCAGCTGAAACTTGAGCCAGTGCACAAGGGATGCCAGGGTCACAGTTGTGCCACAACACCAGCCTTAATCTATGTTTCTTTATTTTTTTTAAGATACACTTGTTTTTATTGGAAATCCAGATATACAGAGAGAAGGAGATATAGAGAGAAAGATCCTCTATCCACTGGCCCACTCCCCAGGCCACAACAGTCAGTGCTACGCGGATCTGGACTCAGAAGCTTCCTCTTGTTCCTCCATGCAGGTTCAGGGTCCCAAGTCCCCAGGCCATCCTCCACTGCCCTCCTAGGTGAAGGAGATGTGGTTGCCCCCTATTCCTCATGGGCTATTTGCTACTTAAGATACATTTACAATTTGCAGGCTTCCAAGAGGGCAATCACACAAAAATGTCAAGAAATTTTCTAACATATCCAGGATCTCTATAAAAGGTAAAGCCAAGACTTGTTCGGGGTTCTTAACTGCTATTGCAGTGTTCTTTCTCCTATATTCAGAGAGAAGTCAACTTAACATAGGATATGATTACACTGTGTATATGAAAGAGATTATAAAAGGAAATACTAGAACTTGTATGCAGATTAGAAAAACTATATCTAAGTATGCTGGCTTTATTACCAAACCACTGCCTCTTCCATCCAATAGACAGTTGCTGAACACTTGCCATGTGGTAGGTTCTGAGACTGCAAAAACACTACAATGGGAAAATGAACAATAAGTTTCCACAAGCAGATTTGTGCACATATAATTTGTACACATATAATGTGTAATTCACTAATAACTTGAGAATTTTTATATCTGAACCTTAAAACACTTTTAAAACACATTCAAGTCTATGATAGTTTTCTAAGGTATAATAATATTCAGCGTTGATTCAATGCTCATTTCAAACATCTCAGTCTAGCATTACAGTCAGCTCAGGATTCCAGTTTCCACTTATTTCTCTGCAATAGGTCACCTTGTCATCCATTACTATTAGTCATCCCCTCGTTTAGACTACAGGATTAATATTGAATAGTAACTGAATTGGACACTCCAGGAAATAGTCAGCATTTTCATTTTACCTGGAATTTTGCATGTCGATCTTTTCCCAGTCAGACTGAGCAGTGGCAATGAGTAATAGCTCCCAATCAGCCATGCAATCTGGAGGGTAAATGATCTGTAGTCCACTGTGCTGTGTTGCTCAGCTGGGTTATTATGTAGGTTATATGTAGTCAACACATTGCTGAACTCAGCTGTGCTCAGTTTATGAAGGGTTTACAAGAATATACCTTACTATAAGTTCAGGAGTATCTGTACACCAAAAGGTTAATTAATAAGAAGTGAGGGACTTTCAAGAAAATCTTAGAATTAAAGTTACATCAGGTAGTAGAAGACTAATCATTTAGCATTCCAGACTGTACCAGCACATGAAAAATCTCAAGTCAATGTGAGAGCACTCTTTAGCCAAGAAATTGACATTCACTGTATACAGTATATCGGTTTTGTCAAAACCGAAAGTAAACAACCAAACAGAAAAGGGGCAGTTCTTTTTGGTTACCAATGAACTTTTGTGTAGAATAAAGTTAATGGTGAGATATTCCTCATTCTCCTCCTTCTCTTTCAATCCTGGTTTCTCACTGTAACTCAAGAAAATGATAGAGATTTAAATTCAAAGGTATAGGATATGTAGGGGGTTGGGTTAGCCCAAATTATAAGTCAAATACACTCAAGATTAATAACCAAATCTATGTGCATGTGTCATGTCTAGGTCTAGTGCACTGCCCTCTTTGGTATGATAATTTCACTCAGTATTCAGGATGCAGTATAATCATGAGCAGGTCCATGATTTGGTTCTTGATTTACATGGTCATTCAGGTAAACAGCACTCTCTCCTTAAAGCTTGTTATCATCCCTGCTATTTCCGGAAAAAGGTTCATCTTCCTAGGCTTTTCAAGTTGCCTAACTGAAAAATATGTTCTGTCTTAGCTTTGATGTTTTGGATAAGAGAATCAAAATCCCCCCTTAGAAATACATTCAGAATTTTCAGAAATGTGAAACTTGGAGGAGAGAGAGGAGTGAAGAGGCACAAATATCTCTGGATACACCATACAAATTTCAACTCATATTTAACCTCACATGGTTCACAGTTAGATTTCTGGAAATATTTCTTACTCAGAGAATGGTGACATGCACAGCATGAAAGATGGGGCTGAAGAGCATGTCGGGGCTATCTACAGTGTGAGACAAACAATGCTCTGGACATTTATATTTTGTATTTACTCAAATAATAAGAATGAAGAGATTAACTCAAAGTTTCACGCAGACACTGGGGCATTTTAACAGTAACAGGGCAGGAAGCCTGCAAAAGAAAAAAAAAATAAAACCCTAAGTACTCAGAATCTCCCTCTTTTAAAAAACATTTTCAAAAAAATCAAAAGGCCAGAAATTGGCTAAATCAAAGTCAGGAAATGTGGATAAACTAAAGCAAATGATAATTAAATGGAAAATATGAAGAACAAAAATTATTTTAAGTATCATAATAAAGATTTTAAAAGAGAAACTTTGATTATATTGTCCACTGGGAATAACATTACTTAATTAACTCATCAACTTATTAGGTGAATACTTTACTAAGTACCTACTCAAGTCCACCATTGTCTGACAGATGCCTGAGAACAGAATAATAAACAGATAAAGTCTCTCTTATAGAGTTTACATGTGAAGGGACATACTTATCAGAACTGTTCGGGGAATTAGAACCAATAGGTGTGTGTGTGTGTGTGTGTGTGTGTGTGTGTGTGTGTTAACTCAGAAAATTATTTCAAGAAACTGGCTCATATGCTTGTGGTGGCCTCATGAGTCCAAAGTTTGGTAGAGTAGATCCAGGGAAGAATTGCCATTAAATTCAAAGCCAGGATTCTTTCTTGATCAGGGAGGCAGGGTTCATGAGGGTTTTTTTTTTTTTTAAGATTTATTTATTTTTATTGAAAAGTCAGATATACAGAGAGGAAAAGCTGGGAACCAGGAACCTCTTCCTGGTTTCCCACACAGGTGCAGGGTCCCAAAACTCTGGGCTGTCCTCGACTGCTTTCCCAGGCCACAGGCAGGGAGCTGGATGGGAAGAGGAGCTGCCAGGATTAGAACTGGAGCCCATATGGGATCCCAGCGTGTTCAAGACAAGGACTTTAGCCACTAGGCCATGACACTGGGCCTAAGGTTCATATTTTTGTGTTTTTTTTTTTTTTCACAAAGGTCTTCTGCCAACTGGATGAGGCAAACAAAATCATGGAGGCGGGTCAGTATCTGCTATCCTTAAAGTCTACCAATTTAACTGTTGTTCTCACCCAAAAATTTACCACTGTGGAAACATCTAGAATAGCGTTTGAGCAAATATCTGGACACCATGGTCCAGTCCAACTGACACGTAAAACTGTCACATGGAAAAGATGGTATATATACATACACAATATACATATGTATATTGTATGTATATGAATGTGAACACACACAGTGTGTCCGGGAGGCATAAATGACTTTTAAGTGAATAAAGCAAGCAGAGGGATATGGTCAGTATGTAGACAATTTAAGGTGTAGGACAATCAGTGTTTGGGCAAGAAGCATCTGAAAAGGCCGGTGAGTAGACATTTTAGCAGTCACTTGGTGAAAAGGGTGAGAGAACTATGTGAACAAATACTGAGCAACAGACTCTCCAGGAAGCTCACACCCACCATTTATACAGAAACTTGGCCTGACTCAAGAAGAAAAAGAACCTCTCGTCCTCAGTAAAAATATCACTAACACCTACCAAAAATCATCATCCTAATAAAGAGGAGACCCACACTGAGTTCCTGACTCTTGGCTTTAGTCTAGCACAACTCTGGCTATTGTGGGTGTTTGGGGAGTATGCCAGCGGATGGAAGATCACAGTTTGTCTGTTTCTGCCTTTCAAATAAAATCTAAATAAACAAATAAATGTTTTAAGTGAAAACAGAAAGTGAGCCTTACCTACAGGATTTGAATATTTTCTGCAAACCAGAGCATTTGCTTCTATCTTCCCTCTTTTTAATCATTCATGAAAGTGTTTGTTGGGAATACCTATCCATGGAGAAGAATTTCTGTGTTCTCCATGACACTTGCCCGGATTTTACAAAGGTCATTCAGCTGTCAGTCGTTACAGTAAACCAAGGCAAGAAGAGTTATTGTTGTCCTTTTTGTAGCTGAGGAAGTTGAGCAGCTTGTTAGAAATAACTCGTCCAAAGCCTACAACCACAAGTGGCTAAAGGAAGACTCAAAGGAATCACTTCTAGTCCAAATGTAGACTCTGTTTCATGTTTGTAAAATAGTTTCTTCATTACTCTAACCTCCCTTAGGCAGGCAACACAGCACAATTTGTTCTTGATGATTGTTGGCAAAAAGCCTACATGCTGATTATATGAGGAAGGTTTGAAACAAAAGGTGGAAGGGGATGCATTT